TAGAGTGAACATTTTTGATACTATATTATATTCGGAGTAGCAATTTTGTTTAATGACTGATTTGTTTGCCTTAACTTTATAATTTTATCAAAATCCCAAGTTTTACACATAAATAAAAACATAAATAACCAGAACCAGAGCATTTAGCAATACACGATCCTTGCTGCCTCCTTCTCTCACATCGACAGCCCTTTCCACTGAGAGTTGAACGTTGGCACGACAAGCTAATGTGTTTCAAAATGGCAGCTCCTCTGGCAGAAGCCTGAATGTGTAGCAGTTGGGGAATGGCTGTCTCAACAACTATGGGCAAATCGTTCAGAAACTGGCATCTGCCCTGTGCCAGGCCAGCACAGTGCTGGGTGTGGGGCTTTAGCAGGACAGCGGGATCCCCTCTCTCAGGGACTCCCAGTCTGGTTGGGGGCATGTGGTACAGCCATTTAGCGAAATGTCACATTGCCAAAGATATATTGGAACACTTCCTGATGTGGGATGGCACCTATGATATAATGTTGAGCAGAAAGTATAGGTTACAAAAGTGTACGCTCAATTTTATAAAAACTACAACAATAGCAAGAGGACCAAAAAATATACACTTATTTTAGTGGAGATTATCTCTAGGATGGTAAGATTATGGGGCACTTTTACTTTTTAAATTTATTTTTAACCACAAGTATGTATTAGTTATGAAAAACAATCAATATTTAAAATTATATCATTTATATGTCATGGTTTTAGTTTTAAATCCATGACACACAGGATTTTAAGCATCACATCACAATCCATGGGTGAAAGTCGTCCTTGTTCTAAATTTTATCTCAAAGTAAAGTTCATATGAAATTCCTATTATCTTGATTTTTTTTTTCAAGGGGGAGGTTGGCCAGCAAGGTTCTCCTGGACCAACCCGACTGGTGCAGCCACCTGATTCTTGTCTCTATAAAGGAGAAAAGGTAACTTCCAGTCCCTATGTTACTTTGGTAAAGTGGTAATAGCCACCATTGCCTGAACACGTAGCTGAGCCAGCCAAGTCCTGAGCACCTACACCCATCACTGCATTAATCCCAACCCCACCTTAACAGGTTTGTACAATTATTAGCCCCATGTACAGAGTTGGAAAATGAGGCTTGAAAAGATTACCAGTGTTTTCAAGTTTACCCTGACCTAGCTTGGGCTGCTCAACTGTGACATGTCCTTCATCAAATATGCCCCATTAATATTATCTTTGCTGTGTGGGCTGAAAAAAACACTGTAAGTCCAGTTGTCTTTAGATGTTACATCTGGGCTTGATGTTTTGATGATAGAAAAGGAAACTGATGCATAAAACGGGGCACATAATACACTTTTTGGTAAAGATCAATTGCTCTTTTAGCCTTCAGTGCTGATGTTATGGATGCCACATTCAGGTTCTGTTGATGATGTCAGTTACTGGATTAAATTTTACTAATTGGCTCAAAATGAGACATTCCTCTCAGTGGCTGCATTCCCAGCGTGAATCCGTTGCCGTGGCTCCGTGGTCATTCTTCACCTGTGCCCCAGATGTCACACCTCTCACATAGAACTGGCCCGAACAGTGTCAGGCTCATAGGTGCTCCTGGACCTTAGTTACTAATTAGCGACAGTTGAGTAATTTCTTATTTTAAAAATTAATACAGTGGATGCTTAAAGGCAATTTCTGAGATGGAATTCAATGGGTAGTTGAGTAATTTCTTATTTTAAAAATTAATACAATGGATGCTTAAAGGCAATTTCTGAGATAGAATTCAATGGGTTA